CCATGATGTTTACCCAGCACCTCAGAGGCACAGCAGCTTGCTGTGGGCTGTGGCTCGGAGCCATGGTGGTGGACAGGGCATGGCTACATACTGGCATCCACACTGCTGCCCTCTTAACACTCTGGGTGAGAGGAAGGCTGGGAGTTTACTTGGCTGGCAGTATTTTGAGTCATGAGATTGCAGCACATTTGCAGAGGGCAGGAGGCATATCTGGCTGCTTTATTTGTATTTCTGACATTTTGAGATCATCTTCTTATGGGTATCTTCCCCATTATTTATAACAAACTGTCATTGAGCTGGGTGGTAAAAGACAGGACCCAGGACTTCTTCTACCAGGACACAGGTTCAAATCTAAATCTGTATACATCACTCACTTGCAGAAGCATTTCCATCCGTCACCACACTGTAAGAAATAAGGGACAAGATCCATGTTCCTTGTGTTGGGGGGAAAAGATGAGCTAAAGTTCTGCCAAAGTTAATGTAAGGTTTCCTCATTCTACTTGTGTGGAGGTAAAAAAACAACCTTTATGCAACAACCAGGAAGTATCCATCTGCCACAATTACGCAATTAAACACCATCTAAGGTACCATTAAGTAGGAATTGTGTGCTAAGAAAAGTGTTATATTTGGAAAATTCACTCTATTGGCTAACCCTTAACTAAAATCACTTATCACTTACTTGTTGTGATATTTAGCCATGCAGAACATACTGGTTTAATTTGTCCAAGTTTTGAGATAACCCTCTCTGAGATTTCTGCCTCCAAATCAACAGCAACATCTCTTTCCAGGAACAATGTCTCTGTGATTCTGAATGTTCCACAGATCTCCGTGCGTAAAGGCTTCATAGGTAGAAATTGCTTCCAAAGAAAACTGTTGACAGTGAGGTTTGTGGGTTATCCACAGCAACCGGGACATTGTTCCTGGAAAGACATGTTGCTGTTGAAGTTCTGAAATGTAATTCTCAAATGGTGTGAGTGCCACAAATGAAATTCCATTCATGTCCACAGTTTTGTGGTGGAAGCAGAAATCAAACAGATGTCTCAAAACCAAACCAAAACAAGCTGCATGAATAGAAACAATCTACCCTAGTCAGTTCACCACCTCGACAGCACGTGCTGTGATTGAGAGTGTGTGAAAACTAATTAGCAATTAGAAATAATAATGGCCGCTCCAAGTAGTAGAAGTATGAATGCAAACTTAACCAAACTTACTGAAAAAAAGAAACAAAGATACAAAGACCAAACCTTAATGTTGACAATAAATTATCACTATCCAGTTTGAAGTCAATTTATTGATACAATTGCTTCTTGAGAGTATCACTCTGGATCATGGAAGTACAGTACATCTCCAGAATGCCTTTACAATGGAACCAGAGTCCCATAAAAATGCCTTAGACCTTATTGAGTGTGTCATGTTACTCTGGTAGCTGTAGCGCAGTGATTGAAGGACATACTTCCACTGTCAAAGACACAAAGCATTTTCCGAAGACTGGTTTCAGTCTCTTAAAAATCACAAGTATTGCTATAAGTGATGGAAAGCCACTGCTAGACCTGGCTCATTCTAAGTTATGGGGCAGCATAATGAATCTTGCAGAGGGTGAAACAAAGGGCATAACTTCTACAAAGTTGTTATTTTTCCCAGTAGGTGCACTGGAGCTTTAGGACAAAAACAAATCCATTTGGAAATTTTACTGCTTTGGCTGTGTTATGCTGCCTGGAGGGTGTCCATGAAAAACCAGCAGATATCTAAGAAATCATTCATGTGTGGTTTTGCTTCTTCAGACATAATATGTGCAGTGAACTGTCACATGTTTTAAAGGACCAGTGTGTAGGATTTAGTGCCATCTTGCAGTGAAGTTGCAGAATGCAACCATTGGGATACAGCTCATCCTTCCGTGTAGGAGAACCTATGGTGGCCGCGAAACGGTAGAGCAAGTATTCAGAGTCAGTGTTCTGGGCTACTGTGGAAACATGGCGGTTCAACATGGCAGACTTTGTGAAAGAGGACCCACTCCCTTTGTAGATAAAAACAGCTAATTCTAAAGTAAGAAAAACACAACAGTTCTTTATTTTCAGGAAATTATACATAATGAAAACAACTATTTCTGCCAATTGTATTTCCTGACTTTTTGTTTTTCTTGCTTTTAATTGTTATTGTTTGAAAAGGGTTAACTTGCATCTACAACAGAAGATGTATAGCCTCCTTTTATTGTTATTTTTTTGCAGTACATATTCTAGCGTGTTTTAGGTTATTGTCTGTTTTTCTTTTATTCTCGTGACTTACATTGTTGCTTTTGATCTTTGAAAATCTGATGTTTGTGTTACAGTAATTTCTTGTTTATTCTAACGCCGGTGGTTTGAAATCTGAAAGTACTAACACTAGCATTTTGTTTACTGACTTCCCAGCACTGGTAAAAAAAATTGAAACACAGTGGCACCAGACTGTATCCACTGTTTGGTTTAGTAAGTGAGTGGCACACATCCTCATGCATTTGTTGATCAAATTGTTTGAGCCAGTGTCAGAGGAAATTAACTCCACTGTGGCCTGTAAAGTCACTCTGTTCAACAGGCTATCTGCAGCGCTCAAATTTTATGCTCAGCTTTGATTTTCTGTGGGTTTTTTGTTTTGGCACATCAAAGGGCGCATGTAGACTTCTGTGTAGTCTGTGTCTGTCTCTCAGAGCATGGAGATAAAAGGTTGGGTTACATAAGACCGAAGGGCTGTTTATGTGTGTGCGCCTGGAGAGCCTCACTGATACTAGGACCTTCTAATGGAGCAGGACTCCGCCGTGACCGTGGCGGAACTGCTGCCAGCTCCTATACTGTAAAAGCAGAACCCCGTCGTCAGAGCAGTAAAGAATAAGACAAACAGCTCAGTGGCTAGTTGATACTATCATTTACAGTAATTTACATCTCATTCACAAGCCTTTTACACAACTGATTGCTTGTTGACTTCCTTTCCCATCTAGTATGGTTATTTTAATGCATGAGAAGCTTTGTGCACGCTTGATGGAGCTTTAAAGTGGCTCACAGATATTATTGTGCTCATGATCAGAGAACATAGGCTCCTCAGTCCTCAGGCTAGAAAATGGAGGATGAGAAAATGAAGATGTTTGTTGAGAAAAGGGCAAACTCCTCATATTGTTTTTTTTTTTTTTTTTTTAAAACTCCTAAATGTCAAACTGTGGAAAAGCGGTTGCACTTTATGAATGGGTGTGCGTCCATCATGTTGTGTGCAATTGTTATGTTGCTTACTGTCAGGGTCACCACGTTCTGTGGAGCAGTGCCCATTGTTGCCAGAGCCTTGACCAAAGGGTGAGGTGTACAATAACTATCCCACATAGTAACAACTGACTAGACCGTGTGTCCTGCCCAGCTAACTGTTCTAAAGATACATTTGACGATTAAAATGTAAACTAAGTCATCACTAAAATTCAAAACACAGGATTTAAACCTGCTATGACTCCCAACTTGATTTACAGTGCAGGCCTTTAAAGGCCCTGAAAACATGTTTTCTCAATCTGGTTCTTACTATGAGCGATGGGATCCAGTGAATGCACAACTTTCTACAAAAGTTGGAACAGTCCTGGTTATTTCACGAGAGATTTCTGTTTTTTTTCACTGGGAAAAGGGGGTTTTCAAGATTTAGCAATATTTGAATCAAAATGTGATGACAGCTGATGTTTTTCTTAAAATCAAATGTGATCAAACCATGCAGTGCTGAAGCTGAGATTTTGTTCAACTGTTCATCCATAACAGTCCAAAACTTATATATGTTTAGTTTATTATCAAATAAAAGTATAAAATCATAACATGTGAGAATTCAAACTAGAGTTTTACAGGATGAGAAGTTGATAAATGTATTTTTATTTATTTATTTATTTTACACATTTTCAATAGTTTTCACTATCACTTCTTCCTACTAAAGAAATAGTCTCTATGAAGTGCTGGCAGCAAGGTCTGTGGACTTTGTTTCTGCTAAGACACATTTGTTAAATGAATTTTTAATGCTTTCAATTTTCCATTTATCCACACAAAATTGTAATAGGTATCAGAGCCAGATATCATAAAACCTCACACAAAAGTAAAAGCATCTGCATTGTTAAACACTAGAGTTACAGTGAGAAAACTGGGTACAGTAAACATAATACACCTGTATTTTTTAGCAAAAATATACAAAGTAAACAACACTATAATAAGACAGAAACAGTAATATTAGTGAACTATTGTATTTGTTTAGAACCAAGCAGCATTGTGGGAAAACAACCCACAGAACAACACTGCTGTCCAAACATAACTGGCTACCGAAAGCCAGTGTTTTCCCAGTGTTTTCACTCACAGCATGACACAACTCAATGACCTCCACTGACACAGTAAATTACACCTGAATTATCTGTTTGGCTCTTATACTGAGCCCCTTGCCTCAGTATCAGCAGCAGCAATTTGTCACAGCGACATGCTGGGTTTCTCAGGGCTTCTCAGTTCTGGGCCAGAATGCCCTAACAGAGCCGGGGAGGGAGGGGATTGGGCGGGATGTTGACTTGGCTCTCCTGCAACGTGTTCACCAAAAATCGGTGACAGAGCTGTGCTGATGCATTCGGTGACTCCCAAGAAAGTGGAAAACGGGTTTACGAGGCCTGTGGGAGGACACAGTGGCTGGTAATTAGACAGCGTAAAAATCCTCAGCCTCCACTAGCCCCTTAGGCAGTGAATAGGAGCTAAAGTAAACCAAACCTGACTGTGAAATTGCATTAGACGTCTGTGCTTAATGAAAAGTGAAAAAAATAGACAAAACCCATTTTTGCATTTATGAGCGTTTCTATTCCCCCACACTTTCTCGACTCTCTGCATCACCACTCCTGCTCCTCCTTATTTCTGCTACAGCGCAGTATATCTCCATAACGGTGTGGCCTTTGTGAAGAGGCAAGTTGTAGGACGCTAACAGAAACAGGATGTGCAGGACTGTGGTTTGAACATGTCTCTGTCTCTGCTTTCCCACAGATGCTCTCCCGCTCGGATTGGGACCACAAGAGAGGCTCCCGAGGATCACAGGTTAGCACTGTCCACAGAAAAAAGAGACACACTAGTAATGACAATAATGATAAACAGCTGACAGGAAAACACACACACACACACACACACACACACAGGAACTAGCTCCCTGATCTCTGTCACTCGCCTTCACACACCTTATAAATGACGCAAATAGCAGAAATCCACTACCACTCACAGGCCTGTTTGCCCACTCATTTTAGCCGTGGTTAAACAGCATGTCCAGAGGTGTCACTTCCCACCAGAGTCCTTGTTGTACTCTGTTAGTCTAGAGGACGCAGGTCTGTGATTTGTCTGTAAGGCGCTGCACAAGCCATTAAAGGCCAGGGAATTGAAACTAGAAGGACTCAGTACAGGGGGCAAAGCTTGTGGAGGCCAGACACACACAGCTACATCCTTGAGATTACTTTTCCCATCTTTGGGGGGTTGGGGGATTGCATGTTTGGGAATTGATGTATTGAGCTGCAACAGAGCCACAGGCCAGGACGCTGGAGTACATAAAGAACAAACAATGCCCTTGACGTTGGCATGGCCATATACAGTATGTGTGTGTTCTGTACTACATGTTCTCCTATCAGGAGGATATCCTTTAAAAATGAATAGACAATGCATCTGTGCTGACAGTGTACACTTGGGGAGCAAAAAAATGGCAAAAAGTTGTGGTTGGGGGAATGTTAGGGGATTTTTTTCACAAATAGCGATCATAACTGTACAGCACAGGATTGGGCTTGAAATCAAATTACACACTGTATAATTTCCCAGAGATGCTAAGTCTCATCTAGTGGTATATCTGTTCCCAAAATCAGCCTTACAGTGTTATCCCCTCAGAGCGGAGAAACTTTGAAATAGCATGTTACCCTTTTGAAATATTCTCCAAGGCTCATATCAATTTGTTATGTGGGGTTAGTAGGCAAGCACATATTTTTTGATTGATGCATTCCCTAAGCTGCCATTTAGACTCAGTGGTCAGTTCAGTCTTTTTATTTGGATTGGTGCTATGCGTTCGTCAGTGAAATCCTGTAATAGTCCAGAGACTGACAAGACGTGTAAGAAGTCAAGGCTTATGTTGGCATCCCTTTCCATCTCGTGGCTATTTTCCCTTGGCTCTGCTCTCTTGGACCAGGTTGTTGGTCAGAGAGGCTGGTAGCACTTCACTATGGTGCACAAGGCACCTCGTAGAGTGTGTAAATCACACACTCCACTCTTTGGTGACCAGAGTGTTTGATTGAACTCTACTATGTCGTATTCGCCAACATGCACACATTAGCAGGCTCATTTTCCAAACCACGTCTTTCTTTTTTTTTCCCTTTTTTTCCCCGTCCAAAGCTTGCGGTGGATGTTTTAGCTTAGGATTTGACAGTGAAGTTATGTATGGAAAGAACTATTTAAATATTTGTATTCAACTTGAAAACACATTGGTTTTGGAACATTACCCGGAAGATTATCGGAGAAAAGAGTGTTTGTAGGCCGGGATCTTGTGACTGTTATTCTAAATTACAGAAAGGCTGGAAGAGTGGTCTGTGAGGCAGACAAGCCATGACATTGCAGTCATGTTGAAGATTTCTCAAAATCACTGTGAGCACTTCAAACACTTGAGATCAGCATTTCTTAAACTGCGGGTCTGGGAGTTGTGAAAGGTCACTGCCCTTTTTCTGGTTGGTCGCATCATGAAGGTCTAGTAGAGCATTTTCTCATTAAATTGGGTCTTGTGGCAAGACTAAATTTAAGGCTGAAAGAGACTGAAAATACACTCTTCTGACTGTCCTCTGCCTGGGAAATAATTGGATCTGCCACAAATGATACCGAGGCATTAGCAATTTCCAGGCTCCTACTTTTTGACGTGCAACAGTGAGACCTCTGAGCTGGTGCCATTTCTCTGAGAGAAACTGAGCAATAGAATTAGCATTTTAGCTTGGTTTTATTTATAGTATGCCTATTCAGTTAGCAAGACTTTTTAAAAACTTGTGACTGTGCCTGCTGCAGTGCTGATGATGGATGTTTAACCACTTGTATCGTGTGGTAAATCTTCACTCACTCATCGCCCAGCATAAGCCATCTGTTTTACCTCATGCATCCCTTTTGTTTGCTCTGTCCTTTATGCCAGCATTTCTTGCTTCTGCCTCTACCAGTCTGTCTGTGTGTCTGTTTCTCTATCTCTGTTTTTTTTTTTTTAAATCTTAGTTGGCTCCTTTGCTGGAATCAAACACCCTGAAATATGTGGAAGGATAAACAAGCCTCTCCTTGGAGATGAGATGGCTGCATGTCAAGGGTCAATTGGCTTGACCTTTCCCAGTAAATCTTTAATGAGGCAGTTATTCTTTTTTGTTTTGTTTTGTTTTGATCCCCCCCACGTCCCCCAACACACCCCCTTTCAATAAAATATGTAATAGCGTGTAATTGTATTCTGGCCGCAGCTGAGGACCTGGCTGAGCACAGCTTCGGTCTGAGCTGACGGAGGGGTTGTGAGGGGAGTTGGGTCGCGGTGGGGGTGAGGGTTGGTTGGGAAGTGGGAAGTGCAGTGCTGCTGGGCGTTGTTTTGGCTGTAGGAGTTGAGGCAGAGAGCGAGGAGTGTCTCAGTGGAGTTTTGTGTTACCGTTTAGCTGTGATTCACACTGTATCACTGCTCTGTTATTTTAAGTAGAGAACATCACCATCTCCCAGGCCCCCCTTTAACTAATCCATCTCGACAGATATAATCAGGGCCATTACACTAACTGCACTGCCACTGAAATAGAAAACTGCATGGTAATGATTTTTTCGAGAGTTCTGTTTAAATGAAATCAACCTAAGAAAAAAAATGGACGCACTTAAGTATTTTTTAATATATTCCCCAGCTTCTTGCTCAGCACATTCCTGCATTTCTCAGAGTGTGAAGATTTGCACGAGGGGTTAATTGCAAAATAAGCACCGCAGTGTGTGTATCTGTGAGCCTAAGCGAGAGTTGCTTACGTTATTGAAATGTCTTTACTAAGGGAATCAAATACCTTTCTTTCTCCAGTAGGCCCCTGAGGCATTTGTCCAGTCTCTAGCTCTCCTGTGGGATTCATTATATTTTCACTATTGCACAATTTTAAGAAGCCCACATATCACTGGTATTTTACTGGAGGCTTAAAGGACTGTATGTTTAGAAGAGGGAGCCGAGGGGTTAAAAGTGCAGCTAAGTGGACTGTCTCAGAAATTACAAATATGTGACCTTTCTGTCTGTATATCCCATTAATAATCATCATTAGACAGAAGGATCAGTGTTTTGTTTGTTGCATCAAATGCACTTCATCTGTCTTTTGCAGAGCTATTGGCAAAAAAACATGTGGACACAGCAGGAACACTAACAATCATACTTGCATTGCTCAGTGTTTTTGCAACAGTCGATGGGGTTGTTTGTAATACATGATTCACATGAGAAATGTTTAAGTTTATGGGTACAAGTTCAAATATTGTAGATGCATGTGCACACCAGTATTTTCAGCCATATTTATTTTATGTGTGTTTTAATATCATATCATGAATGGGTGTGGTTTTAAATCAATGTTTCTAGTCAAATCTTCATCGATCTGGTACAATATCCAGATTAAACCAGCACTAAGAATGAGTTGCAAATATTATTTGGTGCATTCTTGATGCACATTACTGAAAGTAAAGCTACACACACAGCTGAATAGGACCTTGAGTGCAGAGACACTGTGTGGACAAACAGCTTTTCACTTTTCAGGAGTGATTGCTGGTTTGTTTTGACTGGCCCTTAGTTTGGTTTACATGAACTGCTGCGCGGGTGTTAATCTATGGCATGTCTATTGACGTACTGATCCAAACTGTGTTCACACAGGTAATTTAGACCATTGATCATGTACACCGTTGTTATTCATAGTAAAATGTCATAACAGAATGTTCACGCATGGTTAAGTATATGACTTGGCACATTGAGGAGTCATAAAAAAACTGTTTATTGATGCTGGTAGTCAGTTCTATCAAATGTAGGATGTCAACAATAGCTAGAAGCTTGTGACCAAATATCACACAGATTTGTGGTAATTTTGTGACCAGAGGTGCTGGCAGAGGATTAGTGGGTGTGTCAAGGGCTGGCATCAGTAAACTCAGGAAATGTCCTGCCTTTTAAAAGCAGCGTGCTGCCTGCCAGTTAAGTGCAAAAGATTGGCCAGCCACAAAAATACCAAATGGCTGCAAGCAGGAAAGAATCCACATGCTCCAAGCTTCTTGGATAACACAAGGTCATACAGTTAATCCGCAATGGCACAAAAAATTGGCTCCAAAGTAAATGGAATAAATATTGCTCTAAATGACCAAACTGTTAAGGTGCCCTTGAGCAATGTATTTAACTGCTATACAATTGTAATCATCATTTATATGTCCTTCCCTCCCTGCTGAAGTACAACATATATTGTTTTGTGACTGCTTCATTTATTTGAATCAATAGTTTAATTAATACATTTTTGAAAAAATACTTAGTTTACTGCAGCTCAACTGATTTTGTCAGCTTTAAACGGATAATCACAGCTATGGAGAGTTAAAGTTGCATCTCTTCTCGTTCAATTCCCGAACTGCAGATGCCTCCACGACTACTGCAGCTGTCAGTTGTGACATCCCACCCCCTTTTTTCTAGAAACAAACTCAACTAATTAAAACCAAACTTATTAGAAAAATTAACACATACATCAGCATGATAAGAACTGCCAAAAATGACAAACACAAATTTTGGGAGAAAGATGTTTGTCATGTCGTCCATCTTTAGATACAGTGCTAATTAGTAAACTTTAGAGTGGCTGGTAGTCAGTTTTTGTTACCTTTGGACAAAGCCAGACCAGCTGTTACCCACTGTACTAGCAGCTGGTTAGCTTAGCTTTATATTTACCATAGAGACTTGAGAGTGGTATCAATCTTCTCATCTAACTCTCACCAAGAAAGCAAATAAATGTATTTCCCCAAAATGTCAAACTATACCTTTAACACCGTTAGTGTTGCTGGGACAAGGAGGAGGAGGCCATAGTTGTTTTTACTATCCAAAAGTTTTATCATTGGGTCCAGCATTATCTCTCAGTCATCCAAAATTGTACATCAAACACCTGTGTAAATTCAATAGGCTGGTGAGCAGCTCATCCAAAATGCCAATGTACTAATCTGACCAGATGAGGGGCTGTCAGTTTGTCACTTTCCCAACATGAAGGCCTGCTGCTGCCAAGCTGTTTTCATGGTCACCGGCTGTGTGTGTATGTTAAAAAACAGGCTTTAAAAAGCCTGTAAAAGGAAAGACTGATCCATCTCACTTGGGTAAACAGGAATGATGAATCATTTTTAAACCAAGGAAGCTGTTGTTTTGATGATCAAAGAGACAACCTTTTTCTTTTTGCTCCATAATTTAAAGTAGTTTCTGCCATATCTCCTCCACACAACTCTCTGAGGTGCTGGATCCCTGACTAACTCTGAAGGGTGTATTTCTCAGAAAAATCTCTACAGAGAGGAGTGTGAGCCAGTGGAAGACGGTTGTTGACAGTTCCCAGATGTGAATGTGTGTTACTATGAATGTGGTGTAGTGCCGCAGTAAAAAGAGCTTGTATGCTTGGGGAACCATTTAGAAATAAGCCATTAAACGCATACAGTCTGACTGGAAGGTTAAAATACACCGATTTTAATCACTGCATTTAATGGAATTTACAAACACTGCAGATGTGTCCAAGATGAGAACATCCGCCATAGTACTTTCAGAAAAATATTACGAATTTTTAAACGCTCCATCATAACATCTGTCCTATAGCTTTTTTTCTGTGATACTCAGTGCTTTTTCCCAGGCAGGGGTCACTCTGTGGGGTTCGTGTGAGATCTATCCTCTCAGAAAGTGAAACCTGCTGCTACCGAGGTGGCCATAGCTGATGAATGAAACTAATCATCTAACCTGACAGGAAACGATTATATAACCTTATGATATTATGTAACTTACTATTTGATCCGTTGCAGGATGTCCACTGATGATTCTGAAGTTTTAGGTTGCAGACTGTTGGAAGATTAGGAACATCAGGATGTATCTTCCAGCCAAGACACAACTTTTAAGGGATATGTAAAAGCTTGAGCCAGAGATGGTCAGGACTTTACATTCTTTATCTTTCTCTGCAGTCAGCTTTGGTTAATAGCTCAAAGCGCCCTGTCTCACAAACATTCTGTAAAGAGGTTCAGAGACAGGATTAAGGTAGATATATTTTAACATCACATTCTTTCTAATACAGCAAGATAATGGCTTGTATATTGTAGCAGACAGCCATGTTTCCAGGTCAATAAGAATAGTACACATTGAGTGGAAGCAAGATCCCCACTGTGTCCCAAAGCTCATGTCTCAAAAGCTACCCATGCACCTGGAGCCTTTCACTACGCTTTATTTTTCATGTCAGGTTTTGGGCATTAAGTGGCTTGCTCCCAGTGCAAAATCAAACCCAGCACATTCATCATTCCCTCCCCTTTTATGGCCACTCAGGTCCAATTTAGGAGTTAGTCAAGCTTAGTGACGCAACACTCATCCTCCTTGCAAATGTGTATTTATGTGTGTGCACACTTGTTTGTCTCTGTGCTGCATGTTCAGGATGGTGCCCTTTGTATTTGCTTATGTGAAGTCACTGTTTATTTGTGTGTCACTATTTCTATATGTTACTTGTGTTTTCACTCAACATCTGAGTTGGCTGTGGTGTGAGAACCAGGAGTAATGTTTGTAGAAGTTTAGTTTGTGTGTGTGCATGTGCACGCATGCATGTTTGGAGATGTTGAAACCAGCCAGATGTTATCAGCTATATTCTTCTTAACCCCCCCTTTTTAGCAAACTCTTAAATCAGCCTGTAAATGAGCTGAGAGACAGGTGTTTACATCTTATCCCCACAGCATGCAATAGAGCAGAGTATAGGAAAGAGGTGAGGGAGGAGAAGATGAAGAGACGATGTAGAGGAGAGGAGGGATGAGAGGAGTACAATAGTCGTCTGTCCAGAAATGTTCCATCAGCCATCCCCCTGGACGTCTCCTTGTCTGTAAAAGAGATTAGCTTGTTCCCAGTGCTGGTCATGTGTCAGATTTATCAATAAATGCGTGTCATCATGGAGGAATGCCCTCACACCCGGTGAACACACGCCTTTTGTATTTTTGCAGACCAATAAGAAAATTGTATAAACACAGCGACTTATCTGATATGACTAGGAAAATAAAATGCGAGACCTTTACTGTTCCCACCAGTGGAGACGAATGAAAGGTCCTCACACATGTGTTGTTCAGGTCAACCTCTTGCCACTTAGCCAGTGTAAACAGAATAATTCTGGGTGCCTGGCAGCTGGTGTCAAAGTGAATGGGACATTGGGGGAGAAAAATCTGATAACATTCTTTGGGGGGAACGGGAACTCATGAGCTTATTAGATAAATTTGCTGGCAGCCAAGACTGACCTGTGTTTAGTTGTGGTTATTCAACTGCTCTAGGCACGGCAATTAAGAGTGGGTTGTGAACTTTACTCTCCAAAAACAAGGCCGACTCACACTACGCTGGTGCCTTCAAAGCTGTGGGGTGTGGGGTGTGTGTGACGGTCAGCAACAGACTATGGCTGTTGGCCATCTGAGGGGTCAGGAGTGAGGAAGTCAAAGGTCAGATTCTAGCTGAGATGCTGGTAATGTGTCCATTCATTAAAAGGCTGCAAGTATGTATACTCCTACTGCTATGAAGAACCACTCCCTACTCCGCTCCTTGTTTTTGCTTTCTCTGAGCTAAAAAGAGCCATATAAGTATAAAGCTTTTGATGAGCTGTGTGCAGGTGTGTGTGTGTGTGTGTGTGTGTGTGTGTGCGTGTGTGTGTATGTGCGTTGCTCTTGGTGTGATACCACAACTATAGTACACTTAACAAAGCTTGGCAGAATGTCAGTCCGACACTATGATTGAATATGTCTCCTATAATAGTGGTCCTAAATCAATTGTCTATTGTTTTCTTATTTTCATATTGTTGTGTTTGGGTATTGTTCATGGGGATTATTTGTTTTATTTTGTGCCATGTTGGATTTTCCCTGAACAAAGTGCACCTTTGAAACGTGATTTGGTTATGGCTGTGTGTGTTGTCATTGTTCTCATATAATTCCTGCTGTATTAACATGGGACAAAGACAAATATTTATGCTGGGCAATTAGCCTCCCACATTATTTTTGCATGCATACTGTGGTAATTTTAATATCAATATCAATTGTTGTATCAACCATAGTTGTCACTGGATATAATATTTTATGAGTAAAGAAAGACTAGTAGTGCAAGAAGTATTCAGATCCTTTTCTAAAAGTAGCAATACAGCAGTATAATAATACTACAAGTAAAAGTCCTGCATTCAAAATTCTATGGAAAGAAAAGTATAAATATATACAAAATGTAAATACTAACGGTATCAAAAGCGAAATTCCTCCACCATTGTTGTATTATCATATATTTGATTATTATGAGACATTATTGTGCAATAAACATTTACAGAGTAAGTTAATACCAGCCAGAAAAGCAGTGTTCCACTGTCCTCTCAGCTTATTTTGTGTGTATCCGTGTATCTAACCATAGTCAGCATCACCACTGGATGTAGTTGTGTTTCTGTTGCATCTGTAATCCCATCTAACAATGACGTCACAGGGCACTGACACACCTTGGAGTACACTTTGACATCACTGTGGCAAGGTGACTGAAGCCGAAGAACTGCCATCTGCTGGACTGTCCCTCGCCCCTTCTATTCTAGCATTGTCATTGCATGCCAACTGAAATCCCTTCTTTTATGAGGCTACTTATGAGAAAATGGCTTTAGTTTACACACCTGCTCTTCACGGCTGCCACCAAGAAGCAGCATACGGCAGCTATCAGACCCAGCCATTAATTAGCATCAACTCACATTAGCCACAGCAGCAATGATGTTTATTTCTTGTGTCTCTGTCTCCCCATAGTCATCAGGCACCACAGTCATGGTGGACATAGCAGTGATGGGAGAAGCCCATGGACTAATCACAGACCTGCTGGCTGACCCCTCTCTGCCCCCCAACACCTGCACTTCACTGCGGGCCGTCAGCAATCTACTAACCACCCAGCTAACCTTCCAGCCGCTGCACCGGCCACGCCCTACTCCCCTACTTAACCCCAGTGATGCCTACACCCTCTCCGACTCAGAGGATGGACCTGAGAAAGGAGAGAAGATATCCATCCACAAGGTAAGGAAATGAATGACGACCAAGTGTCAGGATTTACACTTTACTGGTGAGATATGCAGAACTAGGAAGTCTAGATGAAAGTGAGGATATTTCACCCAAATATCAAATGTCAGAATTGTTAATCAAAAGTAGTATGGACCAGACAAATAAAATTTTGTTTTAGACACGACTGAAAATAATCCTTAGATGGAAATGCAGTCCAGTTTATTACAGCCAAATGATTTATATACCACACGGCGCTCCACACACGTTAATCTTTCAGCCATGTTTCAGCTAATGAGTGCTTCCTGCTCCCAGAGCTTTTAGCATCAAATGAAGTAGTGTATTTTCATAGAGTTGAGTGAAGAAAAATAGAGAGTGTCTACTGCTCGGAGCACTGTTCTCCCTTTCATAGCCACAGCTGTGTCAACATGACAGATGTGTAGAGCCAGCCAGTGTGTATGTGTGTATGTGAGTCAAGTAGAAGAGGAGAGGCAACATGAAGTTGAACGCAACTCTCAAAAGGTAACAAATAGGGAGCAGTAAGTGTCAACAAAACGTACCCCCTCCACAATTACAGATACAGATATTTATTTGAGGAAGATACCTATCCTGGCTGTCTTGGAAACTTGTGTGTAGTCGATGGCTGCCATGCCATCCAGCCAATCACTTGGCTGACAGGTGTATTTTTACATCATATGAACTTTGTAAAAGTAGCTAAGGCAAACTGCGCCTGTTAAAGTGGCCAGTGAGGTACTCATTAAGACTCTGCTCCCCAGAGACCCCGTGCGTGGCTCTAACTGCCCAGGAGGCGAATATCAGGAGGAGTGGAGGTGGTTAGTGCAGGAGTGGAAAGCCCTGCACTTGCTTTTCTGCCTCCTGGCAGAGTTTTATGTCCAACGTGGTGCATACTGATGCCTTTCAAGTACTTTTCCAAAACTAATTTTCTGTCCAACACAGAGCTTGTTCTCTGTGCTTCAAAGAAGCCACTGCATTAGAAACACATACTGTACAAACATCAAAAAACATGAATGACAAAACACACAATCTGATCTCACTTTTCTCACTTAAACAGTTATAGAGATAAGTCCAGTTACAGACTTGAATCAACACTGACAGCAGCAGGGATCAGCTGTATTTCATTATTTTATTTTTTTTGTGAGGATGGCCTGGTTTGCCATGCTGTTGCCGATGGTGATGTGTGTGTCTTTCTGTCGTGTGTGTTTCTACTACTTCTGGTATGTGTCTGCAGGGCTTTCATTAAAGAATGGACCCTTGGTGCTACAAACGTGCAATACCACCACTACTTCACTTTTTAGAATCAGGACATATAGTATTTTCATGCAATGTTAGTATACAAAAAAAACTTTTTCTAATCATAGCACCATCAAACACAATCTATTTTGGGGAGACCCCTGGCCTGTGGATCTGCATAAATTAAATTTTATCTCTGTGTGTACATATAGTATGCACTAATTGTGCATATTCCTTTTGTAGGTGTAGCCTGTTTGTTAGTACGCATTTGCATTCACAAATCGGTTCATCTGCAGCTGAATTCAGAACATGCTAAAATCAGAACAGTTTAAATTAAGGTTATGGTAAAGCCTCTAAAGTGAATGTAAGTCAGTTCCTAAAGTTCCTTCCTAAACCTGTGTATGAGTGTGCGTGTGTGTGTGTTTGCACTCAGTATATGACGCCTTGCTGTGAATGGGCTCATTCAGCATTCTAAGGCGATCTTTACTAGGTCACCCTGAGAGAGAGAGAGCCTGCCATGTTTAGTGCTGCTGTGCCAAGCTGCTGCATGGCACCGAACAGATGGAGGCATCACAAGGGCACAGACCACTGGGAATCCCAGAGAAAGAGAAATGAAAAGACAAATAAAGAAAGACTGTTGAGAGAGAACGAGAAGTAGAGAGGCAGAATCTCTATGATGAAATGTATCTGTGCAATGCAAGACTGACATTGTATCTAATAATGAACCATGAGGGGCATCACTGGCACAGCTGCCTGCTAATATCTTCTAGTCAGTGTCGATTCTCTTCTCTCCAGTGAAGAAAAAAAATAGTGCCTCCACTCATGAATAATGTTCCAGGTTATATCACCTGCACAATTTGTTTCATCTTAGGCAGATTCAGGAAAAACAACTGTCTCATCTAGATGATCCATTTGACTCCAGACAAAGCAAATAAGCATGAACTTTATCTTACAGGTGGGAGTACTTTTAGAGCTTTGATCTTAATGCAAACACAATTACAGCCATGTTTTTATTTCTGCAGTTAGTTTTGTATGATATCTTTTTAAATTCTTCTGAAGGGTTTTTCCTGTAGTCTTAACTGTGTGTATGTATGCATGTTCCTGTGTGTGCAGCGTATAAGGCGGAGTCTCCACCCTGGCCTTCTGAGGAGGATCTCTTCCACGTGGACCACCACCACCTCTGCCACAGGCCTGCCCACCATTGAGCCCGGGCCCGTCCGAAGGGACCGCAGCGCCAGCATCAAACCCTACCATGAAACACTTACCTGCAGGTACCTGAGCTACAGCTGAAGGATTGTTGCATTCTTTTTTGTTTGTTGTAATCTCTCTCACACCTCTCCTGTCCTCAAAACATGATTTGACTTTTGCTCCAGTTGTAGATTTAGCAAATACAGTCCCATTTATCTTTACTATTTTGCTTGACTAATTATTTTCCCACAAAAGGAGTTATATTGAAAAGAGTTTGCTATATTTGTAGTAGAATTTTGGGTTTAAATATATGAATTAGATCCTGCTGTGTGACATTGTACTATAGGTATAAACAACTGTGGTACAGACACTCCTACAATGGCTACCACAGTATGACACATTGTATGACACACTCTGAAGAGTTTTATTCCCTGCAGTGTGGCTGTCGTTATACCAAAGACAGCAGCGTGAGTGAACAGTAATGGCGCAGTAGTTCGGAAAAGGAAGTGTGTGCAATGGGAGCCAGAATGGAAATATGCCCCACAGGCGAACGCATTAACCTGAATAACTAAGACACACATTAACTGTCAGCGCATTAGGGCTGAAGATAGCACGAGACTCGGGCTACACAGAAGCGTCATGGTTCAGAAGTGGATCTGTATGCATGTGATATAAAGGATAGGGTGTTCATTATAATTGTGTTTTAGTAGCTTTTAGAGAGAAAGGTGTTGTGGGACAGAGAATTTTACAGGTTACGTCTGAGTGCTTGAGTGAGTGTTTGTGTACATTCATCGGTTTGTGTGTGTGTTTGTGTGGTGGGGTTTATGCCTGGATGCGTTTTGTTTTGCAAAGGCTGTTGAGGAGATCTGTCCTCCCTGTGTTCAGGCAGGACTAATACAGATACAGTGAATGTGTTGTTGTTTTTGTAAATTGACTCGAGATGAGGGTCGCCCCTCAGTGATCTCTCGAGTATAAATAAAGGTTTAATGAATGATTGAATGAATGAGTAGAGGGTTGTTTAAAAAAACAAAGAAAATGTACGTTTCTGCAATTTTTTTCAAGCTAGTAAATCGAATTGATGCACTAAATCTAGAATAAACACAGGGTCTTAATTTATTAGAGTAGTGAAAGTGAAATATTTCAGCGTAATTTACTGTGATTATAGTGCAGAGATTACATTCCTTACAATTACTTTGTGATTACTGTGACGTTATGTTTGGATTACCTTAGAAAAGTTCAGGGAAATAATGTTTTTTTATGAATTTCAAAGGGATAGAAAATGGAGATGCAGCTAGAAATTTTTCATCTGTGCATGTACTTCAGTATGAGTTCATCATGTACATACAGTGTTTTTTTGAAAGTTAATTGTAAACTGTAGTGTATACTTTGTGTGTGTGTGTGTGTGTGTGTTAAAAGTTAGTTTGGTTTTCAAATGCTGCATAACAGCATTTATCTGATCTCTAAACTGATGCTCGATCTTACTTAAATGAATATGCAGTTCAGAAAGACATGTCTGATGTCTGTTTAAACGATACACTGAAAACAGCCTGCATGAATTCAAACAATACAGTTTTAACTAAGGACAACCTTTGTATTCTTCAGTTGCATTTGTTTTCAAAGTTTATTTGCAGATATACAGAACGACAAAGGATGTATCTTGTTTCTCCCTCCGGTATTTAAGGCTACTATCAAGAAATCTCCTATTCTAATACATGTACATTTGGACACAACTTGTCAATTTCTTTGAACCTCATTAAGACAGAATACATCTCATGAGCTTAGTTTTCACTGCAAGCTTTATGTCTGGAACTGGATTTTCATCAGTTTGCTCACATACTTACTGGACCAGTCAGTGGACTTCAAACCCCCTGAAACGTGTTAACAATTGTTAAAAACTAGGTATTGTAGATGTAAAATGAGGCATGACTCTGCAACTGCATGGCCTATTTCTAACCTCCTATTAATTTAGAAACTAATTTTGGGTGGATAGTTTGGGACAAATTTGATGTTTCCAGAAGAATTGCCATGTTTTTTTTTTCAGTTTGAAATGGTACTGGTTTATTGTTGGTATAGCTAGTACATAACTTTACTACATGGACTACATGGTAAATAGCTGTGTATTTTTTAAGTATTTTTGTTGTGAGGAGATTTGTTTCATGAAGCTATTAACTGATTATGGCATGTGTATGACTTGCAGCTCCTGTCTTCCAAGGTGACTGTTTGAGCCAAGCTGCCTGAAGAAACATGCTAACTAGTCAATGCCTGCAGCTTATGGTAGATAGATACATCTACAGTATTTGCTCAGTTTATGACAATTCATTTGATACACATGTGCAACATGTGCTAATGATTCAACCATTAGCTGCAGTAATATTTCCATGGCTTTTTACTGTATTGACACTTAAAGAAGAGGGGTTTCTTTCTAAATATTTTTTAAAAAGGACAGGTCAGTGTGCTGCTGCAACCATATGGGTGGATATGACACATGGACAAAAGTAATTGCAATACTGCTACCATCAATACACTATACAGTCAAAAGTATGTGGACACCACTGTCCTTTTAGTCTGGGGTCTGGTGTGTTTTTTTAATGGTTTGGCCCCTTTGTTCCAATTATGGGGAATCATAATTTTACAACATACAGTGATATTTTAGACAGTACTTTGCTTCCAGCTTTTTTTGACAACATCTTTGGAAGGCCATTTCCTGTTTCAGCATGACAGTACCCACATGCACAAACAAGGCCTGAAAAGGAATTGTTTTCAAAGAAGAGTTCTGGGATTCCCCATGCAGAGACCTTAACCCCATCAAACACTGTTTGGATGACTTTTAAATGCTGACTTATCTCCCAGCACAAAGCCCGACCTCACTTATGCTCTTGTGGCTGAATAAGAGAAAATCCCATTATCTAGGTCCCAAAATCTTGTGCAAAAACTGTTGTCAGATATAGGAGCAGACTGATGCTCATGGTTTTGAATTAGATCGTTAACACTATGTTTAATACTAATATGAACTCATACTAATGATATGGTTTAAGACAAGTTAGCACTTCAAGAAAGACTAAGCACCTACTCACCTGTACGGCAAATTCTGAGATAAAATTGCATTTTTAATTATTTATTAAAATCTGCTTCTGAACCGTTAGAAAATAAGATTTTATCACAGGCGTACAAACTTTTATGTAGCCTTGGCCAGTGAAGAATCTTCAACACACATTTTGTATCTGTGGACAACATAACTCCTATATTGTGTATCTGCTAGTTGATGAAAAGCAAATGGTTTGGTTCGGTAAATAAATACATTACTCATTTATCTAAATATTTACAGAACAACAAAGAAGACAACAAATATACGAAAGAGACATTTAATCCCACATTGGACGTGGACAAAAATGTCCTGTCCTGCCCCATATAATGATAAGAAAACAAAGATTGCTGTTCCTCTGCTACATTACATTCTTACTTACATTTATACCTCTTCAAGTAAGAGATTCTTACAGTTTATCAATATTGTAATATTGATATAATAATATACTTACTACATATACAAAAGTATACAACGGATGACTACAGTATATCCAACCTTCAGTTCTGAATTATATTGTTTACTGTTGAGTTAGCAGCACTGTAAAAAAAAATGTTTTGTGTCTTGAGCCCTCTAAAGAACTGTGTGGGCTGTGTCTGTCAGTGGCTTGTTTGGGTCTGTTTGCACAATGACAGTGTGATACTTGAACAAGTTCTGTAAATGTAAGCACAGTGAGCAGCTTCTGTACACAAAGCCCTGTCGCCTGGTCTTAAAGCTCAGCCCAGCCCAGCAGCAGGCTCCAGCTATGGCCACTTATGGTGGTGTGAGTATAAACAAACACCTGGGCCTCTCCCCAGTCACCAGAACCCCACAATTAACACACACACACACACACATACACACAGACACACACGCTTAGACACACTGTCACAGCTGCTGCTTCTGGCAGGGGTTATACAGACACAATTGGAGAGTACAGAGAGTCCCTGGGTTTAGTTTACTGCAGCTGAGAGGTCTCTCTTCTGAGTAACACTTTATTTAAATTTTGTTTTAGGCATCTGGCGCTTATCCATATGCCTAGAATGAAACAGAGAGCTGGTAAGGCTTCAGTGTCGAGTTAAAAGACACTCAAACAGAGCCCATACCTACTGAAAACTACTTGCTGCTGCTGCTGGGCTCAAACCTGTGATGGTCTCCTCGGCAACCTGCCAACACATCGTCTCTCAAGTGGGCTTTAACACAACAATCACAAGTTCGGGGGAGTTAAAGGGAGTGTTTTTGTAATTTATCTACTGTAACCTGTATTTATCAGTGTTATCCATTTTGAGATCTGGCCAAGACTACAATAACGTGTAAATTTATGTCCAGATCAAACTAAACACCAATAATCATTCCTGATATTTAATGAGTCCTCTCAGGAAAGTGAGAGTCAGAATTGGTTGGGGAAAGAAGAGAGAACACATGGAGTGGAGGTTGGGAGAAAATGAACACATGGCTTCAATTGCCTTCTCTCTGCTCCATCATCAAATCTGTACAATCTTAATTAGGACATTAGGCTTCTTTTTTTTCTCCCTCCTTTTTCCATCATGTCAGCTTTCAGTGACGTACAGAAGGAATAACACCAACTTCAAAGCTACAATATCGGCTTTTTATCGGACAGGTCCAGTAAAAAAGAGGCCGATTGAATACCTTCCATTTCCCTTAGCCCCCGCCACTGTGCTGTTATCTTCTTCACGTCATCTGGCTCCAGAGTAGGTAGATTACTGGAAGCAGAAATAATGGTTGCTGTGTTTATCGTGGCTTGGACACTGTCCGTTTGGGCTCTGAACCAAAGGTAATCTGTCAACCTGCTGTGAGTGGTTGAGTATAAAATCTGGGAGCAAACTGCAGCTGAAAGGGGAGCGGGCAGAGGCCAGTCAGAGCTTGTTGCATGGCTCCAACCAGTTTCGTGGTCACTGTAGTTTCTCCTTTGGAAAGGGAAGGTGAAGCAAGGGAGTTGCACTCTGCAACTACACTGTTAGATGTCGCTAAATCCTACACACTGGTTCTTTAAGATAAGCAACATAGGAGGAGGAGAGGCAGAAGGGCTGTTTTTATACAGTAATTTAAATAGTATTTCCTATTGCATGATAATTAACTTCATTAAGGTTTGTACTGGAATACTCGCTGCTTTTTCTTTTGTATGAGTGTGGGAGAACAGGAGTCATTTTCTACTTCAGAGAAAGACTCCCACTTGACTGTTGACACTTCACTTTGGCTGTATTTACTATTTTACTATTTATTTGTAGAGATTATGTCTTGAGCCAGAAACTAATTTTGACCGTTGACCTTTGTTTGATTTGTCCTGTAAAAAAGCACACACAACTATCCCAATGTCCTACAAATTGTTTATTTTCTACTGATTTACAACTACTTTTACAACATCTTTACATTTTGAAAAAAAAGTGAATTCTAATATAGACCTTACCTAGTTTTTAAGCAAACATGCTAAAAATTCACAGTTTGATGCTTCTCAAATGTGAATATTTGCTTTTTTGTCTTCTATGAAAATTAATAGATTAAGATACAGAGCTTTTTGGTTCTGTTGGTTGCACAAAACAATCAATGTATTGCACTGCATTTCTTCACTATTTTTGACATTTTGTAGACCAAACCAATAATTGATTAAGAAAATTATTATTAATTATATTAATTTATAATGAAAACAGTAGTTGTAGTTGTAAACGTATCTGTAAAACATTGAGTGACAGCTTATTTCACTTGTTTTCCCTGCAATGTTTGCTCCTAAAAAATATAGTATGCATTTGTAGCAACTACAGCATGATTCAATTTTTGATGGTTGTGTTTAGGCACTTGCGGCACTTGGTCAAGGTTAGAGAAAAATTGTGGTTTTGGTAAAATAATAACAAAACTCCACTCTGAAACAGGACGTGTTTATTTTTTCAATATTTAACCGAAGCCATGATCTTTTCCTAACCTTAACCAAACTGTTTTTGTTGCCTATAAATCTAACCATACCACAGGATGCAGGATGTTTCTTTGACTGAACAAAGTTGAAGGCAGCAGTTACATACTTCCCAAAGGTTTGGGGCAAAACAAATTATGAGCATCATTTATAGGAGACAGGGTTGAAACAAAAACATACAGGAATGTGTATTTTGTCTTGGTACTCTACGGAATATCTCACTGGGACAGTTAAATTACTGTAACTACAGTGCTAACTACTGTAACTACACTTTTTTGTGATAAAAGCAGGGTCATTTGATACGTGACTGACAGATTCCTCAAGTGAAAATGGCCGGCCTTCTTATTTACATTCTGCGCTGAAGGCTCAATGTCAGTAGCTGAGGCTATTCTGCTGCATTAGCAGAATAGGAAGAGTGTCTGCCAGTTCTTCAACTTTCATTAAAAGTAAACCTTTTAAGCCAAGCCCTGCTGCCTGCCCAGACCCCCCTGACAATAATGTACTAACTGTTCGCCCGCCAAACTATCAAACTATTTTATATTCCACACCTGCTAGGCATTACACACAGTGGTCCAACCTGGCCATGCAAACACAACAGAACTCCCTTTGTTGGGGCCTCAGGACCATTAGGCGGGGTGGGTACAGCTCAAAAGTGTTCAAGAAACAATTTATCAGAAGGAGATAGACACACTACAGGCCTTTGTGCTCCCTGTGACACCACGCTCTAACGGCAGGCATTTCCTGCCCTGAGAAGGCAGGTTTTACAACATTTAGGGAGAGTTATTTTAATTGGAACCACCTACAGCCTGACAGAGGCCTCAGTGGAGAAACATGGAAAAGCTGTTGCGAGCAGCTCGGGAGGCTCCCCATGGTGTCACACGGCTAACTAACCAGTGGAGGCCGGCTCAAGGCTCTTTCTGTAAAAGATACAGTAATATTTGCTGTTTGATTTATAAACCTGTCAATAAATGCGAATATTTTCATCTGTCTATGTCTGTGGCTAGCAGTAAGCTTTTCCTGTAATTTGTCATGAAGCTCAAAGAGGGTGGGCTCAATTTCTAATGAGTCATTTATAATAGCGCCTGTTTCAAATTTGTTTTGTTGTTTATTCTCATTGCATTGTGTTAATGTGTACATCCATTAAGTTCATTAATGAGTATTTTTCTTCAAGCATCTGTACAACGTCTGTTTCATGTGGGGACAGCACAGTAGGAATCCCATTAAGTTTTTTTTCTTGACAACTTCTGCCGAATGGTTAGACATCAAAGACAGATGTAGTGAATGGCATTATTCCCAATTCTTTGGCACAGCTACAGACATTTTGCTTTCCACAAACAAACTCATATACTATTCTCCAGTGTTTAACATTTTCTGTTGATTTTGGGGTCTGGACTAGTTTTAAACTACATAGAATTATCAACATTACCAAGAGAAATTGAAATTTCATCTTATCCTACAAAAACAACAAAACAGATTCTTGCATTTGATTAACAGACATTTCAAAACACATTGGGATGTAAATGTTTGAACAAATATAATTGACCCTACAACATGTTTTTTTGAGTCAGTCTTTCATTGTGTAGTCTAGTACTGAGGTTGAACATGTTTTTTTATTTTTATTTATTGATTCTGACATGTATACTATGCAATAGTTGAAGATGCAACACAACACAAGGTGCAAATATCACAGCATTACAACAGGGAATGTCATTCGCTACACAGTTAAATAAAACATTTCCCTTTTATGCACGTTATCTCTAACCTAGTAAACCCCTCTTGTCTACAGCTGTGGGAGACCATACATCAAACTGAGCCATGGGGAAGGCTCAATAGACAAGGGAGACAGGATACCACGGTCAGGTATGCTCTTACTTTTCTTTCTCTCTATTAGTACCACCACTCCCTCCAGGCAGCATAGGAGGAGTGTGTGTGGGCATACTGTATACTATATCACAGTGTTTCCAAATCCAGTTTTGAAAATGCAGACCTACCAGTTTTTCTGATAATGCAAACTCAGACTACTGTATAAAGCATTGCCACCACACACACTGTAAAACAAGTTTTGAGTAAGGGGCAAGGCAGCAATCACTAAGATCACGAACAAAACCACTCACCATCACTTTAGCACTGTCACTCTGAGAAATGCAGCTAATTATAACAAACTGGGATTAAGGGAAGTGGAAACACCAGAGAAGTGAATTCCCCAAAAACCTGACGATCAGCTTCAGGAGATTAATTGTGGATTTTTCCCATAGGCTGCAGTGTGACATCTTTGTTTTTTCTTTTTATAGCAGAGGACCAAGTGGTGGTGTCATCAGACTACGACAGCACCCATGAAGCCAACCACAGTGACAGCAGTGATGTAGCACATACAGAGGAGGGCACAGAGGAAGGAAAAAACCCTGCCCAGAATGTCATCCTCCACCCACTAATACCTCCTGAGGTAATGCAAGATAGAATGGCCGCTGATACAGTATAACTCTGTTAGTAACAAATAACATCATAATATTAGATTGTATCTATCTGTTTACCACTTTTCATCATGTGTCACTTGTACAGGACAAACCAATTCTGGCTCCAGAGCCGTTAATAATGGAGGACTTGGAGCCTTTGATGAGTCAGCTAAACAATTGGAACTTCCCCATCTTCACTTTGATGGAAAAGACCAATGGGAAATGTGGACGGATCCTCAGTCAGGTGAGCACATCTAAGAGCACCAATGATTGAGCTCAGAGGTCAGCCAGAGTGTCACTAAAACTATTTATTATTAGCATAATAATACATGGGATTTGGACAATATTTCAGCAATAAAAAAAATACAAATTGCTGAGATACTTGGTAAAACTGTTTTTCTTTGGTTTCATAATAGATGTACATATATTTGCAACATTTGATCTACAATGCCATAATCTTAGCATTTATTTATTACAATTTCCATATTTTTTAAATTAATGTTCCCCTCTTACATGTAATGTGTTGATTATCCAAACCTGGTGATGTTCACAGACACTTTGACATTTTGAGTTTTCTGTTTCAGGTCTCCTACAGGCTCTTTGAAGACACTGGCCTGTTTGAGACCTTCAAGATCCCTGTAAAAGAATTCATGAACTACTTCCACGCCCTTGAGAATGGTTACAGAGACATACCATGTAAGCTTGAACATTTGTCATCTTCTTATGTTTTTGATTTTGCTTTAGTTTATCTATAACCATGTTTGCAGCTGTAACAATTAAACTAGCCACTAGAGGGAAATGTCATACAGCTTTTCCAGTGTTAGTCATATATGTCTGTATGCAGCCTTTATGTTGTTACAAGAAACATAAGCAGCCCGACACTGCACCCTGGTGGAGAAGATTACAAACACTAAATACACTTGTTTTCTTTCCTGACCCAGATCACAACAGGGTCCACGCCACAGATGTGCTTCATGCAGTCTGGTACCTCACCACGCAGGCTGTTCCTGGTCTGCCCAGCCTCATCACTGACCATGGCTCTGCCAGTGACTCAGGTATGTCCATTAGTACATACTGGCAGACATTTGCATGTCCTGGTGGGGGTGCTGGTGTGTATGTGAATCAATTTATGTTAACTCATTAACATCAAGTTAAGTTGCCAGATAAGAACACATGAGCTCTCAAAACCTTTTTGTTCCATGTCTAACTTGTGTTAAGCCATTTACAGCCATAAAAAACTGTCTGTATGCACATCCACACTTTATTTAGGTTTTTCCATCTGCCTGTAGCTTTACTGTGAGCTCTCATTACTGTCAGAGCATCAAACCTGCAGGAGTGTGTGTTCTTATCCTACTCACAGTTGGTCTTATCTTACTCAGGCTTTTGGCACTTGCATTTACGTACCAAACACTATTTGAAGTCTAGTACAGCATGAAATTGCAGGCAGATTAGAGTTCCCTCTCACCCATATTTCCATACCCTCATTTGTATGCCTTACTGGGGCCATCCCTTTGATCCACATATAAGTGGATTTGAATGTTCAAGTGTGTATTTCTGCGTGTGTGTGCACTAGTGTGTGTGTGTGTGTGTGTGTGTGTGTGTGTGTGCATGTTTAGGCATGTACTCATGAAAGTACAGTATGTGTGTGTTTAAATTCTGCCACCCTGCTCTTCATCCTCCTCGCTTTGTCTGTTCCCCTGTGGCCAGACTCCGACAGTGGAATAACACACAGTCATATGGGCTTCCTGGTTTCAAAGACCTACACTGTGTCAGAAGATGGTTATGGCTGCCTGTCAGGCCTCATACCTGCTCTGGAGCTCATGGCCCTTTATGTGGCTGCCGCAATGCACGACTACGACCACCCCGGGCGGACCAATGCTTTCCTCGTGGCCACCAGCGCCCCACAGGTACTCGTGCTACTCAGCCTATAGAAGAGAAAAGTAACTGATGAGTAAGTAAGTAATGATAGTGATTATAATAACTTTATTTTCAGTGCTTCAAAAAACAAGAACAAATACAATCAGGCAGGAAAATAATGAAATACAAATTCACTATCAGAAAATAAGAATAACAAATAAGACAGCTATAAGTAAAGATAAAATAATCGTTGAAAGTGCACCAGCGGTTATTCCAAAGGGTTAGAGGCCTCACGGCAAAAGGCCTGTTGCCCTTGGTCTTCAACCTCAACTGGGGAATAGCTAACAGAGCTCTATCAGAGGACTGCTGGCTACAGGCTGGAGAGTAATGAATAAGAAGCTCAGCCAGGTAGCTAAGTCTCATACCATGCAGGACCTTAAAAGTCAAGACAAAACATTTTAAATCAATTCTAAAATGGACAGGCGACCAGTGCATGGAAGGTAAAATAGGGGAGATATGAGCATGCTCTTGTAATCTAGTTAAAAGTTCTAACCCTAACCCTAACCTGAAGTTGTGTAATAATTCTCCAGAGGAGAAGTGATAAAACCCTGAACTCTGAACATTTTTCAAAATATTAAAATATCTTATTGTAGAGGTATTTCTCAAGTGGAAAAAACACAACTGAGTTAGCTTTTCAACATGGGACTGATCTAAAATAACTCCAAGGTTCTTAACAGTAGGTGCAACATGTTGAGCTAGAGAGCCAAGAGCGGCAGGGCTTATAATAAAGATTTCCTTATTGGAGGAGTTAAGCTGAAGAAAAATTTCTACCATCCATTGGGCAGCTCTGGAGGTAGAATTGGTTGTCCACTTATCAAAAGGTTGGCAGTTCAATCTTCGGCTCCTCCGACTGCATTTCAAAGTGTCCTTAAGCTAGATTCTGAATCCCAAAATTGCTCCTGATCATCATTGTATGAATGTGTTTGAATCGGTGAATGTGACATTTAGTTTAAAAGTGGTTTGAGTGGTCGTAGGACTAGAAAGGCACTATGTAAGTGCAGTCCATTTGCCATTGAACAAAAGCTAGGCAGTTATGCAGGAAATAACTTAATTGATTCAGATGGTTTACAGGACAAGTATAGCTGATTATCATCTGCGTAGCAATGAAATCAAATATAAGGGCTGAGAAGAGAACCGCTGGAATGCCGTCCCTGAGATACCCACCCATGTTCTCAACCTTTCAATAACAATGCTATGATCCACTGTGTCAAAAGCGGCGCTACGATCAAGCAAAACTTGCAACGAGCATTCGCCGACATCAGCCTTCATCAGAATGTCATTGGTAACTCTTAACATAACTCTCAAGGACAGCCTCTGTGCTGAGTTTCTGTCAGAAGGTGGGTGAAAGGTGTATAAAGTGGATGATAAGAACATGTTGTTTAAAGGATAGGTACACATTTTTCAAGTGTGTCCCATTTACTCACATGTGCATATGTACAGCGAAACATATTTCTATAGCCTGCTGCATTTTCAGTCTAGGTGTGTCTTCTAAATTTAGATAAACAGGCTATGATGATACTGAAAGATCACTTATCTATGAGAGAGTAGCAATGTTGCAGCTCAGATTTTCTTGACAATACTTTGGAAGCATGATGTGGTTTTCCAATTTCTTCAACATTTGAAATATCTCTCTTATCCAGTCTGACGTTTTATATCTCTTTTTAGTACTGTTTGCGCTATTTCAGGATTCATATATGGGTATTTTCTTACTAATATATCTAAATGTAAAGTGTTTGTCTGTTTGCAGGCAGTGCTCTACAATGATCGATCCGTTCTGGAAAACCACCACGCTGCCTCAGCCTGGAACCTCTTCATGTCGCGGCCAGAGTTCAACTTCCTTGTCAACCTGGACCACGTGGAGTTCAAGCGTTTCCGTTTCCTCGTCATTGAAGCTATACTGGCAACTGACCTGAAGAAGCACTTTGACTTCCTAGCTGAGTTCAATGCCAAGGTAGTTCTAAAAACATAATTGTTTAAAATAAACATTTAAAACATGTGACTTTTAGATCTGAATGTGGGTTCATGGACATGGTTATTAATTTGACAATATTGTGAAATTAAAAACTTTTAAAGTTGTTTATTTATCTTTTACTTAAGCTATTTGGGGGGTTTGGGATTTTAGGTCAATGCCAACACTGGGTTATAAATACTTATCCTTTGATATAAAGTTAAACATTTATGTTTAACTACTTTTATTGTGAAATGTCCAGGGGTTTTTCGGTTTGTGCAGAACATTGCAGCACTTGCAGTATGTCCCGCTCAAGTCAACAACACAAAGCACTCTGAAGTTTTCAAGAACTTGTTTAAGTGCAGACAGAATGTTGGCTTTGGATTTGAGGGTCTTGAGTTTTTCCATTGTGACTATTAGTACAGTGGTGGTGCTCGATGGCCAGGGCCTGTCAGCTAGCATTGAGCTTGCTTGCTGGCTTTGCAGCAAAAGTAACAGCAACGTCTCTCACTGCAGTGCACCCTGCTCTGCTCTTCCTGGAAGCAAATTTGCTTTTTGTGAAGTACCCATCCAGTTATACACTTGATCTCCTCAGCTTCCTGAGTTATTAGGTTAGAATGATAACACTCCGGGAATCAGTGGTCCTCCTTCTTCAGATCTGAAACTCATTAAGTGTAACTAGAAATAACAAATTCAAACAAATGCATCATTCAACTAGTGTTGAGATTAATGCAGACTTTAAGTTTATGTAATTGAGTGCTGCCACATTCGTAGAAATAAGTTGATAATCAAAGATTTCACTGATTTAATTCAGAGAACTGCAGAAGTATATATAAAACTATATCTTACAGAAACTGTGGTCACAACTTATTCACAGCATGGTAATTGTAACCTCTACATAAGCTCATTTCATTACAGGAAAAAGTCTGTTTGTGTACCTCATAATACAGGTGGAAGCTACAATTAAAAGGCCTTAAGTCCTTATGGATTTTGTCTCATCAACAGTGCATTCCAGTGTTGCCATATGTCTTCACCATGATTTGTAACCCTTCTAGACATTAATAGGAATATACAATCTTCGAACAGTAGATCAATGGGATCACATTTACATAATATTTACATATCACATGCTGTGTCTGCCAACATGTTTGAATATGCTAAATCTCAACATGTCTGTTTGTTGACCCCCCAGGTGGGTGATGATCCATCTACAGGTATTGATTGGTCTAACGAGAATGACAGGTTGCTGGTCTGCCAGATGTGCATTAAACTGGCTGACATCAATGGGCCTCTGAAGTGCAAGGACTTGCATCTGCAGTGGACAGAGGGCATTGTCAACGAGTTTTATGAACAGGTGTGTAAACCGTCTCTGATGAGAACTTAGACCTCATTTGTATATGCTAAACTAAAGATCAATGTACTGTTGTGTTTGTGTGCTTGGGGGGAATACAACAACACAAACTCCAGCGCAATATAATCCATCACAATCCAATACAGTAGTTCTGCATTGCAAAATCAAACATTTGTGAGGGTTTGGTTGAGGTTTTGTTGAGAATGTTTAGGTGTCAGTGTTATGGTATTTCAAGCCATTATTTAGTCATGTAAATATATATATTAATGCTTCTTGTAGTTAGCTTCATCATTGAGGCTATGGCAAAAAGGTTAAAAACCTACATACCGTACAACATATAGTTGTAATAGGCAAACACAGACAGACAGACAGACAGACAGACAGACAGACAGACAGACAGACAGACAGAGACAGCACAAGAAATAATGTGAAACTTGAAAACAAATTTCAACTGCTTTCTCATAATAAAGTAGAGCAGAAAACAATGACTCCTGCCACCATGCTGTGTGTTTCAGACAAATTTATTCTTTCTATTTTGTTTGTCTTTAAACCCATAAAAACAAGTAGAGAAGTAGTCTTTATTTTTCCACCAAAAAGACTTTGGACCCGAAGACTGATTGATTATTCATTTTTGATCCAATCTCTCTGACATATTGAGATAGTAATGGCAGCACTCCCTCTTGGACGGGTTATTGTATGAGCAGCTGTCCTGATTCCCTGACAAGATTTATGTTCAGTTACTGTATTCTACTTTTATATAATACATTTACACAGTATTTACATATAAATCAAGAGTCAAGGAAACAGCAGAGACAGAACACAATATCTTGTAGTTAGGTTTAAAATTGTCAGTTTTTGTTCAATTATTCATTTATATGATTTTTACTGAGCTCATAGGTAAAGGTGGTAAACTGAACTACATGGTATTGAGAGGGTTTTTTGTCAACCATATCTGGCATCATAAAAGTAGACTTTATGGCACAACAGTTGTATCGGATTGCATTAGGTACAGGTGTACCTAATAAACTGGCCACTGAGTGTACAGTGCTGCTGCAACAAACAGAATCTAGTCATGCCTTCAGCTAATGCCACCCTCAGTGACCTTTGTTACAGTATGTCCCCTTGGCACTAAATGGCTGCTAATCTCTGCTAATTGCCTCTGGGTCAAGCTCAAACTCTTATGTACCCTGCTACTTCAGCTTGGTGACACAACCAGCTTGTTATGAGCCACTCTGAGGTCCATGAGGGGAGATACAGAGTGTGGGAGCCTCGCAGGAGAAATGCTGTTCAGTGACAATAATTTTAGTGCTGCTGGATGTGGTGACGCAAGCGGGGTGCCCAGGCAACTGTCATTCAGGTGGAGCAGCAGCCTCTGATTACACTGACAGCCTTGAGAGACCAATGACCTTGAAAAAAGCAGAAAAGCAATACAACTCCTCCTTTATACAGAATATGTTCAGGCATGTATGCAAAGCACAAACATATCATAGATATACGCGCACACACTTTGTTGTGGTTTATAAAAAAACATGACAGAGCCTTGAGGATAAGATTCATTCACCAGGCTCAAATTGATTATTTTTGTGTAAACTAGGATCTGGGTGTTTTGAATCCATATCGTAAGGTTGGATAAATCTCAGAGCTTACAGGTCTTGCATTTATTTGGATAACCCAGTTAGAATCCATCTGGCCACTGTATTCATAACAGTGTCTCTTACTACATTCATAGCACATAGACATGAGGCATTAATTTGGGAAAACTAACCTTGCTATGCCTCTGAACACAACCCATCTGTTCAGATTGTAGTCATGGTGACAGCTGGATCCCAGAGCTCCTCTTTCCCTTGTTTTTTCCACCCATTCATGTGTGCTCACCGTCAAGAAATTCCATCAAGTTGCAGATCCCACTTAAACCCCATCTTTTGATGACTCTCTCTGTGCTTTGCATTAGCAGCGAGCTGCTCTGCAGGAACAAAGGCATTCTATTGTATAGTGCATGGGATGACACTTGGGGTCAGTTACCTAGGCAACCAGGAAACCTTGCTATAGCTGTTGTTGTTTCACATCCATATAGACGTCATAGACAGCACACATGCTGCTGCCCCTCATACTTCCCATTGTTGCCCTATATTCTTTAGGCCTTTGTGTAAATTACTTTAATTTTCATTGTAAATATTAAATGCATTTATATCATATACAACCTAACTGTATATTATTGGTAACAGTTTATCTTCCTTATTTATTTAGTTTTATATATATATAATTTTCCTGAAAAAAAGTGATATGTAATGTCATAGGAAGCTTCCTGGTAAGAACTATGTAATTATGTACTAAAAATCTAAGCTTGAGTCATTTAGTCAGTGCACCGCAGGTCAGCTGAACATGCAACAATGTCTCTCTAAAGGCATTAACATATATAGAGAGAATAAAGTTTCCAATAACAAATAAATTATTAAATAAAATATGGGCCTATGGAAAGTAATAATACCTGAGTTAACATGGGCCAGTTCTTTCGAGAAAATTCCTTAGGAAAACAACAGCTTATAAACTCAACACAATGTATTAAACTCAAATATCCGTCTCAGTGTATTGCATTTACTTGAGAAGAAAATATTTGGCTTGTTCTTCTGAATTAACAAGATTATCTCAGAATTCCAACAACAGTTTTCAGTAATAAGAAAATCAGCAGTCTCCCCATTTCGAAGTCCAGCATGAGCTTCAGTCTCTCTGTCCCCTAGCCGTCACCCCCTGGTATTTAGAGGGGAGGTTGGCCCGTCCCCCCATGGCCAAGTGCCTGTTTTTTAGAAGACGTTGTACAGGTACTCAGCTGTGAGTAGTAGTTTATTAGTGAACTGTAGCCTGTGAATTACACTGCAGACTGGAGTCTCTGTTAACAGCACCAAACATTCAGATAGATCTATGCTCGTCTCTTATATTCTCTGCATCCTCACTGCAATGCATTATTGTAAACTATGATGAGCGGTCTAGGTCGCATCTCTCGCCCGTGTCCAGGCACAGCCCAAAAATTCCAGCATCCACGCACCTGCAGGGGTGTGTGGACATGGGAGGGGAATCAAGGACAGGCTATCAGCCGTCGGCACCGGCCACACTGACCGACTTCCCTGCCTCTGGTTCTCCAGCAGAGTACAGAGGGGTGAAGGCTAGGGGACACAGAGACCTGCATGGGCCCACTGGAGCTTGCTGGAGGCCTGCCTTGGATTTGCGTTAGGCTTGAGGGGGAGCAGTGTATTCACTGAGCTGAACTGACTCATTTCTCTTGGAATAGCATGTGTGATAAAATGTGAATCATGCCAAGTCTTGGCATTCATTCAGCTGGTGATGATTTTGCACTAATGTGGGTCATTCTTTATGTAGGGCGACGAGGAGTCCAGCCTTGGCCTTCCCGTCAGTCCCTTCATGGACCGAGCGGCACCACAGTTGGCCAAACTCCAGGAATCATTCATCACACACATCGTGGGACCACTGTGCAACTCCTACGACTCCGCTGGCCTTATACCGGGACGATGGGTGGAACCCAACCCAGAGGAAGATGAGCCAGAGATCATGGAGAATGAGGAAGAGGATGAGGAGGACACTGCAGAAGAAGACACATCTACCAGCTCAGAAGCGTCACGTAAGCACTGTGGTCTAAAACTATAAAGCTATAAACTTGAAGAGGTGATGCAGGAATAAACTGAAAGTGATCAGAAATGTAGCCTTGAATGCCTCCTTTTGTATGAAATTGTTTGTAATTGCCATTTATTCTTTTTATATGGGTTTGATAATACACATAACACGTAATATACATCAAACAGTGGTTTCTCCTCTGAGTGGTGGGGAATAAATTAGTTTAGCAGGTGTTTTGTAGCTTAAAAAACATTGCAGTTCAACACTGGATTACAAAGCCTCTGATTAGAATATACTATAAATGCTACTGTCTCATTGGAAAGGTAAAGGGAAGTTTTTAGTAAGCCCCTAGACCAGCCTAAGAGTAATACTGTACATGTGGTAGAGTGTATTTATAATTTATACAACATATCCATTCCCCCAGCTTTAAAATTTATATCAAATAAAAATTCAAGAAATTAGCAGTTCTCTTGAGATATTTTGTTCTAACACAGATAATGGATAATTAGACAATAATACATTACAAAACTGGTCACTATGAAATCTAAAGAAATACCAGTAACCCACATACTATTTTTAGTTTGATGAGCAAAATAAAGAAAAAAGAAAGATATCTAGCTATAAACGTGGTAATTAACACTGGTGGAAACATTTGGAACTGATTTGCCCCTGTCAAAAAGATCTGACCACATGGTCTGACAGAGAGACAAGTTATAGTTCAGACGCTAGAGGCAGTGGGATTGTAGTTAACTGTCAGTTTATATTGTGTAAAATCAGTTAGCAAAATGTTTTTGTTTGTTTTTTTCAGAGAAAGCAAGTCCCAAGAAGAGGAGGAAAGTCTTCTGCCAAATAACCCAGCACCTGCTGGAAAACCACGAGATGTGGAAGAAGGTGATCGCAGAGGAGGCCCCGAAACAGGGCCAAGGAGCAGAGTCTGTCCATTTAAACAATGTAGCTGAGCCAATCCTGGCTATTCACGAGGAGGAAGAGGAGCCAGGCAGCAGAGAGGAGCTAGTAGAAGGAGAGGATGCAGAGGAGGGAGTGGAGGAACCAGAGTGGCCTGTGTCTTCGCAGGAAGACTCTAAACCTCTGGAGGAACTAGCGGAGGGGGACCCACAGTGAAACAGCCAATGGAAAATACGGAGTTGGTCAGGGCAAGGATGTGAAGAAGTACTCCTTGTTATCTTATCCTATAAACTGACTCCGGTTTTTTCCAGCACATCACTTAGACACAACACTGTAGATGTTTGGGAAATGTGTGCCTATACAAAAAAAGTGGGAAAATTTGTGCTTTACACATTTGATCTGAATATCTGGTTTCACCAAACATTTGAAGGAGGTTTCCATATTGCAATACAGGATTATTTGTGTACTTTGGGATACAGACTCTTTTGCTACTGTCAAGAGAAGAGGAAGACTGATTGCACAGACCTCAACCCAATGTGGTAACACAGGACTGCAGAAATTTGCTGCCAATTTATACATAATTATTTTCTGAATGCAATATATAGACATCACAGTTACTTGTACTTGTGTTTCAATTTTAGCAAGAGTTTTTAGGTCTCACATGGGCCATAATATGTTTTTTAGAATATATATATATATGGATTATAAAGGAAGTCAATCAAATGAGGAACATTGGCGTATCTGTCCTCCTTTCAACGTCTGCCAAAAGTACCCATAGGATTTAGCATACAAAATCAAATAATTATAAATGTTATGTTTTACATTTGTTGCCAAATTAAGTACTTTATACCATTAAGTGTAGCCATATTAGTTTAGGGAAGGAGACCTGAGGTTCCTCACGCTGTTTGTGTGTGTGCGTGGGTGTTTGTGTGTGTGTGTGTGTGTGTGTGTGTGTGTGTGTCTGCGTGTTTAAATTAGTGCACTCCAATGCACAGTTCCTCTGCAGAAGACATATATTCAGCAGAATACCTGTTATTTGTGCCATCTCTGGTCTCCAGTCCCAAGTATATTTGACCACTCCCAAATATAGTGGTCAAATAAAGGCTTCATTCACTGTCCTAAATGTTGTAGACCAGAGGACTGCACTTACAAAGCAGCAGTGGATTGTTGGGAATGGATCTATTCCGAATGCAAGACGAAAAGGGAATACCAGTTCACAGAACAGACACTACCGAAGTGTTAGGAAAATATAAGGGGAAAAGAAAAGGTAACCATTCGTTCATAAAACATTATAAAGAAACAGAAAGCATAATATCTCAAAATCCCCCAGATAAGTAAATGTATAATCCTATGAAGTTTAAAAAAAAAAAAAAAGCATAGGTACACTAATCAATACTTTCTCTTTTGTATTTTCTATCAGTTTTTTTGACTCTCTGACTACGTATTTGGAGTCAGTGTGCTGTATTATACTCTATACTTACTGGTCCTCATTATGTAAAAACCTGCTAATGATGCTGACCTTTAACCCTCAGGAAAACCTCAACTGTTGAAATTCAAAGTAAATATCTGTATCACTTGTGAGGATGTTCATAAAAGGCTCAGAGCAAGGCAAGTTTTTGGCACACGCCGCCAACTTTTCTGCCTTGACTAATATTACATATTTGCAGATAAACACAGTGAATCTGTCTGAATTCTTCTCCCGTCACCTCAGGAAGACACTCTCTCAGAGTTAAGAGCCTATGGGACTCCAGAGTGCATCAGTTGGATGTCCTTCTTCTTCTTCTGCAAGTGAAAGTCCAATCTGATAAATCACATCTGTTACTGTAATGATACACAGGGAAATGATTCCGGCAAAAGAGTCAGTCACAGTCAGTTATCTAGTCACAGTTGATACAAGAGCAAGCTATGCGGTGGCTGGTTTTCAGCATCAGAATGTCAGGTGACCTGTCCTTCGCTCCAAATATTCTCACAACAGTGGTGGTGCAAGGTTTCTGTACTACTGTAGCTGTTTGATGCCAGTAGAAAACATTGTTCTTTATTTAATGAAATCAGAGTGCGAACTACCGGGGAGCCAGGGGGAGCTTGGCTCTTCTTATTTAGTCACGAGTTCCCCTGAAAACATGATTTGTGAAATTTGACAATATGCTAATTTTGCCATGTATTTCTAGTTTTTTGGCTCTTTATCATCGTGGTTCATGCATAACATTAGGCTCCTATTGATGTATGATTCACACATTGTTGCATTGCATTGCTTTCTTATTGCTTCACAATCACTGTGAAAATAAAATAAAAATGGTAGTGAATATGTTAGTTTTAATGATCGTCACCCAAGACATTTAATTGTGAAAGTCAGTGAATGCAAATAGAAAATAAAAACTGCTTTCCAGAGCTTCCAACAGACATAAAAGGCATTGTTTCTAAAAACGTGACTTGTAAATGGATTTAACATAATTCCATTACTGCACATAACATGATTGTAATGTAGAGGTCGTTGTACTGTAAGACGTCACATGATAGCCCCTACTTTCTACTGAGAAAAAGCCACAAGGTAAACCAATAACATATTTAACTGCACAAAATGTCCCCGATAAATATCCCACTTTGCTTTAATAATTCACAAAGAAAAAGTGTTTGAGAGACCATAAGTAGATCTTGAGTTGAATAAGTTTAATGCTCCAGACAGAGTTGGCGGGTCAACTTTCTGTCACACACGAGTGCAATGAGGAAATATGTAATGAATTATCCACTGCTAATCTTGTCGAGTCCTCATGACCTACATGCACATCTGAATCTCTTGTGCATCGTATCTCATCTCGTGGTGTACCACTGCTCTCTTTCATAATCTCATTTCAATAAAAACTAAACAGCACACGTCAGCCTGTAGATAGGATATAGAGCAATCATATTGATACAGGTGTAGAACATCGTGTCCTTGTTTCGTTGCAGATCTTGTGTTAACATACTCTTATCACCACACAATGTTCTTAGCTGTGGTGAATAGCGCACTCCATCCATAATGGCCTGTTTACTGCTTCTCTGGCTGCTACTGTATGGATGGGGGAGGAGGAAGTACAGCAGCATAGGCCACACAAGTTGAGGATAATTGGTTGACCCACTGTTTAGAAAGGCATTAGACAGAGAATCATTTACCCAACATCTGACCAAACTTGTTAGAAGCCACTGAATCAGAACAAGGTTTTTTTGGCCCCTAATGACCATGTTTTCACTCACTGTATGTTGTATAAAACATGCGTGCTGTATGTTGCCTGCAATTCATCCCTAAAGAGCTATAATCATCATTACAGACACAACAGATACATTTTATGCTTATAGGCAAGTTTTTCCATACAACATATACATCTTAACTAAAGTGGTTCAGAATAAAAAAACAACACTTTCTATCATTCATTGGGATGATGTAACCTCCACTTCTAGTTTTTATTTCAAGCTTCCAGCTCAAATGCTCCAAAGCCTCTGCTTTGTTAATGTATAAATACAGTATACAGTGTGTGTGAGAGAGCAAGAGCGTGTGTGTTTGTGTCTATTTGACTATTTGAATTCTTCCATTGGCCTCTCTAATGTGACTCCTATATTTGGCTAGGTTTTACTTTAGTAGGAGTAAAAGAGGATGCTGCTTTTACTCACAAGTAGAGGTGGTGAAATGATGAAGGTGATGCAGTAGGTAGTTCTCCAGTTTTTCTCTGATACTCAGATGAAATTGTTATTCACAGACGGTCCTATAGCATATTTCTCTTTGATCTTCACTGGCAACAGTAGCAAAGCATTCATCACACAATGTCTATCATCTTTTAAGGTCTGCTGTGTTAGTTAGTTGGTGATATTTTTTTTTTTTTGAGTGGACTATGTATGCATTTTTCCCCCAGTCACATCAGCCTTGAGTCAATATTTGCATTTGAGCTGATACAGTATACACCCAGTATATCAGTTTTGACAGTGTATTTTTCACATCTTAATTGGTTTTATTTGTCATGCTTATTCACACATGTAGCATAATTGTAACCATGGGAAGCTTTACAATTATGTAAAAAAAGAGATGTATTTTTATATAGTTGACACATGATTAAATAATTGCTTTCTTCTCACTAGTACCTTGCACTTACCACATGTACTAATACTTACACAAGGAAGAATATATCCAAATACACAGTATTTGTGAAAGTAAAATAATTACTTTTCTTGCAGGTTGATGCTCCATTTTGTACAATATACATACGTATATGCTGTACAGTAAAGAAATTTTAAAACTACAAAAACTCTTTTAGATATACATTATTTATTTTTACCATTTTGTAATTTAGACACTATACTGTAGCTTCAATATTGCCAGACTTACTGGAAGTGCCTATATTGGTATTATGTATCATACAGTGAATATATTTGAAGATCATTAGAAGTTGTCACAAACTGAACCATGTGGATGTTGTAATGTGAATACATTGAATTACAAGACTATAATTTCTGTGGTATCCCTGTGTCTGTGTTGTGCTTATTTTTCATCTTTTGATTTATATTTTAGAATCTGCTTTATATTAAAATCTTTCATTATGACAAAATGTCCTAAAAGTTCTACGTGCTGTGCTTCATCAAGACAATTTTTGCACCTGAACAGAGTTTAAGCCTTGAATCTAGTTCTAGTTCTCCATTTCCTCATCATTTTAAAGTGTTATTTAAGTGGAATTCTCAAATATTTGGCTATGATGAATTGGTTAGAAGCGGAAAGCGCCAACACTCCACGAGTACCCCTCTGAGCACAGATGGAATATGTCTGTCCATTTATTAATATTCACATTTCAATATTATGTTTTGCAGTTGGAGAGAAGTATATATATAAAATGACAGACAGTTTGAATAATTTAGAGTGAAGCTTAAGAAAGCACACACACATCCTTGTATGTTGTTTCATAGACAGCCAATTGTAGCAGATTTGGAGTAACATTGAGACCAATATGTGGAACGACCCCTATCAGAAAGTTTTTATTATTATAGATTATTATCATATTATAGACTTATACTGTACATAAACATGACTATTCAGTGTAAGACAACATCATATTTCTATTCATCCCAATGTAGGTAGATAGATGTATAGTTTAATTGTTGAACTGTCTGCCCTAATGATGAATATTTTTTCCTGTATTGATCTGTTTTATTTTCATCACTTCACATCATTTAAAATATATCACTGCACAGGCAATGATAAACAAATTACTATCAAGAGTCGATACTGTCAATAATTTTTTAAAGTTTTTAAAGCAAAATTAGAATACTAGAATACTTATGATAAAATTGAAATATAAACTTCCACTCAGTAGGTTGTAGACAGTTTCCTTGCCAGAAGCTGTTCATACATTGACCATTCTTCAAACAGATCCATCCAAATTCCTTTCTACTTTCTTTTTTGTTGAAAGGTTAGAGCAATATCCATTGCTACCCACATATGCAACAAAATGTTTGGCAGCCTTCACATAAAAATAATGCACTGCCAACATCCTTTTGAGGCAAAGTTTTTATTCTTTAGCATGCTATTGGTGCTTGGCCTACCTCGCCTGAAAAAAATATTCCTTTTGAGACCCTTTGTCTTCTTCCCTATTCGATTGTTTGCTTACTCCTGGACTTCTGTGCACCAAACCTGTTTTTGGCAAGTAAAGACTGTAATCATTCAAGATCTTTCTGTCTCTGAGTGGTACTATTGAGTTTGCTTCAGTTCTCCAGTCGTTACAATATGCCATGAAAGGATCATCTACCATAGCAGATTTTGCCATATCATTGGTACAGTGGTAGCTATCACTTTGATATCTCTGGTTATACTGTATTAGACAATTGTGGGCAAAGCTACAGATCAGAAATCCAAACTGCTTTATAGAAATATTTCCCATCTGGTTATTTTATCACAATCACAATTAATACAAATATTCCAATCTAAAATTATATGTATAGTGACAGATGATTTTATATTTCTCACTCCTAATTACAATATGAGAATTTTACCTATTCAGTGTCACTTAAAAGGTAACAACCAGTCGGCCTGCTTCTGTGGCTCCAGCTCCAATTTCACTATCCAGTACAGATGTAGATTCACATTTATCTTAAAATACAGATTAAAAAATCCCAGTATCATGTTTATTCATCTTGTGTATACCTTTTTTGTAAACTAATTATCAGGCCCAAAGCACAGTCAACCATACATGGCTACAGCTGTAAGTATTGTATAAATCAACATAAACCTTAACCAACTCTACATCTTACTGTGGGTGCTTAAGATGCTTAACAGGTTATGTTAAACTACCCGTGAAGCTACATAAAGAGGTGCGGACATGTTCATAACAAGTAGGTCTGCTGTGTATAGACCATTTATCCCCATAGCAACAGAGAAACTTGAGAAATGAGGTCTGACCACCTGGTGTGTCAGTAGGCTCAACAGGGGAAGTATGACCTTATCTAACGATGCATTTTTATTAGGGGGGCAATGCATTAAAAGGTGTGTTGGTACCCTCAGTTTGGCAATTGAGGAAAAACAGCAGTAGCCTAAAGTCAAAAGATGATAGAAATAGGAGTAAGCTTGCATCATCAGAACAAAACAAGGGCAGGTGCTGAGCTCAAAGTGAGCAGACAAAGAGAAAAAAATCTGTTCGTACACCGAAAAGGCTCCAATGTCCATTTTTAGGCTATTTGATGCACCAGAGAAATATTTTCTTCATCAGACTCAAAGTCTAAAGATTCACATTCAGCTTCAAACTGTAATGCGCAATTTAATTTATTAACTACTACTCTTACTTAATTTTTTTGGGTCAGGACAAGTTTAGTGAATAGTTCAATCAAATTAGTTTTCAGTCAGAGAACTGAACTTTATTTTGAAACATGATTCAGTCTTCACTCTTTGTGAGCCTATGTTTGGTTGTTTGATGACACATTTTAATGAAGCTCTCTGCAGTTAGATGACACTGGTTCAGTCAAACAGCATCTGCATTATTTAAAGTGATTGACTTGCTCTTGCTTCTTGATGCAACACAGCTCAATAAGCTTAACAATTTAATTTCATAGTGAGTGAATAGTTTAAAGGCCCCATTTGCACTCCATTTAACGGCTGGCAGTGAAGACTAACAATTAGGATTATATTTCCTCAGTTTACATGTGTCCTTTTTGTGTGCCATGACACAGTTTTTGCTCAGCGTTTATATTTTTTATCTGAGTCATCCTTGAAAGCTGTTAACATCGCAAACTGTAGTAATACTGACAGAGGGGAATCATCATTATACAGTACTTTTAGCAAATTAATGCCACAAACACGCTGCGGGGCTAATAGATGAATTATTAATTTCGGAAATCTGAATCATGACTTCGTGTTGTGGGTTTACCAACACACTGCAGATGTTTTCAATAACACTTCACCCGCTCGCAGCTCCTCGGAGCTCAGTGAAGATGTGATATGGTGTGGCAAGTAGTTTTCGTTGACGCATCACGTGTGCGTCTCTGTGCTCAGTATCCACCCTGTCGCTTCCACCGAAACACACTGCTCTCCGCTGCCGAGGAGCATGTACAGCAGGAGGAGGTGACTTGATTGGAAGAGTGTAATTTTATTTGTGAAACAACAGGATTCCTCTCGCCTTGATTTGTGTTTTAGAATAAGAAGTTCAGAGAGAGACGTCGCGCAGGGGAAAGGGTTGAAGCTCCGAGTTGGGTAAGTAGCCTATCATGATGTTGCATTTAGTGTGTCATTGGAAAATCAGGCGGATATTGTTTCCTAGACACTTTGTCTGTTGTATCGAGGCGAGAATTTAGTGAAGTTTCAGCGATATGGTTTCAGATTTTAATTGACAGACCGAAAATATCCCTGTGTCAACTCCCCATCAACAAACACTTAACCGGTACAGTGCACACAGCTGTCCGTAGGAACAGCATGGACATTTGCAGAATTCAGAGAAAGCTTATCTGGTTACTCTGTATGCTTTGATTAATTAACCCGAGTGCATGTGGTGTCACCAGTCATTCAAAAGATATCGTGATTGCTGCTGCGTTTATTGTAGGCAGAGAATAAAAGTCCACTGAATATTACTTAAAATTCTCTTTCAACTCAGCACAAGTTTACTCCACGTTTCTTGGTGTATTAAACACCAGAGTTTGTTTGATATTAATCTTGTGTCTTCATCAGTGGGTTGCAAAAACTAAAAAAACAATGTTGATTTGTCTTCATGTAGCTCTGTTATTTTAAGTGTAAAGGTGCACTGCAGCAGTCAAGCACTTGTGGATTACTGTCAAGAATTTTGATGAGGAGGCTCAGTCTCTGCTTTTAAAGGACAATGAATCACTTCTGATAATTACACAGGGTATTTATTAAGTATATAGGACACAGAATATGGTACCTTATATCAGTTTATCAATCACATGTTTGAAGGCTGTAGATAAAAAGGGCTCATGCTGAGGTAAAAAAAAAACACAACAATTCTTATTTTCAGGTGACTATGACTAATGAAAACATATCTATGAACATTATATTCAATTTCTCACAAGAAATCCTCCTAAATGTTACACACTGGACCTTTAAGGTAACAAGCATGAAAAGCTCTTATGTCGTCAGCTACAGCTATTTTCTTGCAGAGTTCAGAGCCATTTGGTGCATGGAGGAGGGATCCATAGGGAGTTGTCATGTCACTGAATAAGCAGGCTGTCTTTTAAATAGTGTCACAGCTCTGCTCTTTGCTCTGCTCTCTCTGATTCCATCTCTCTCACATCATGTCATCATTCACAAGCACCAGACTAAACAGACTTAAATCATAATGTCATCTTTTGGTTTGCTCTCTACAGTAGGTTGCTTGGTAAAACTGGTTGTTTTTAAGATGAATATATGCCACTGTGTTTTTCAGATAAAACCTTGTAAAATCTTGTACATTCCTCAAATTGTTGATAGTAATGACAGATTATCATAATTTGTCTTGTATGTTAAACACACTGCATGCACATGTAAACCAGTATTTCTTGTACTACTTTAGTTTTTCTCTAAGCTCTGATCTTCAAAAAGATTCTTCAAACTGTGATAGATTTTCTCTTTCTAGTTGTTTTTTTCACTGCTTTCCAGTAGTTTATTCTGAAACTTATTTCTTGTTTTCTGCTAAATTTCTTTCTTTACTGTGTGTGTTTCATAGCACTACAAGTAATCACTTTCACCTGAAATATAAACTTACCCAGTTAACCCACTTACTGTATTTAATGAGCTACCCAATGGCTTGTTAAGTCAGCTTAAGGCTTGTTTGTATTTCCCAATAGGTTCATGGGTGTACGGTGTGCTGTTGATCTAAGCGTAACTGACCTATATGTTAAATGTGGTGTAAATACAGTCAAGAGTCATTAATTATATGTCTTGACGTAAAATCATTCATTTACAATCATGTCACAGCTGTTTAAGAAATTGTATGTTTCAGGCTTGGCTTTGCATTAAATAATATTTATAATATTGAAAGCTACAACTGTCAATTGCCTTTACCATGCTTGAATGTGATTTGTCACGTGACTCATTCCTTCATTCATTCATTTCTATTCTGGCTTATCACCA